ACTGACACTGACCGTCAGAGGGGGGGTCATGTAGTTCTCACATTTGTTTTGTCATATTGTCATACCTCCAATCTTTCTTTAAAAATAATCAAGTTAAATGCAATCCTTGAAGGAAGGTATATTTCTCGTTGCCTTGGAGATCAAATTTTTAAAGAAGGATTTTACATAACTTCACGTTGAGCTCAGTATCTGTAAAACTGAGTTAGCTGTTTACGTGTCTGCTATATTTGAGTAATTGTGGCGGCCATCTTGAAATGGGTTGAATTAGAAATAATAATAAATTTTACACGAACACTCGGTGATTATGTTTAGTTCTATTGAAATCTGCTCAGTTGTTTATGGAAAAACATTTCGGCTCTTGACTTAGTGACTAAATGACCTTATTTTTCACATGTGGAAAACCTGGACCACAAGGTGCGATGTGAACATGAAGGACAAGGTGCTTCACATATTGTTTTAACGTCTTCACATGTGAATGTTTCTTATACAATTTTGTGTCAATTTGTGTCAAAAATAACGTTTGTTATACATGTTTTTCACATATTGGCTCATGTGAAAAAAGTGATAACATGGGGTTTCAGGCGCATGTGAAAAATGTTTGGAAATCACATTAGAAACATGCAAAACATTTGTTTCATATGTTAATTTTACATGTTTTTACATGTGATCACATGTGGAAATACATGATCACATGAACATGTGAAAAAAATCTAATGTGCAAAATGTATTTCACATGTTTATTGTGTGAAATGCTGTATTCTTCACATGTAAAGTTTGGGGTTTTGCTCTAAACTCATACAGGGAAGTTAAAAGGAACATAACAGGATTTCACATGTGAAAGTTCATGTTTTTGTTCTAAACTCATAGGAAATGTGCAAAGCAGTTGTTTTTTCTATAAGTGCAACATGTTTTTACATGTGGAAATACATGTTCACATGAACATGTGAAAGATTATTTAAAATCACATAAAACATGGGTAATATGTGTTTCACATAGTATTTTAATGTGTTCACATGTGAAAGGTTGTTGTACATGTGAAGTTTGTGTTTTTTTTTTCATATTCACTTTTAAAATGTGCACATGTTCTTCATGTTCAACTAAATGTTTTTACATGTGAGAACATGATTTTTTTTCCACACGTGAAGTTCACATTTTTCATCTAAATTCACATGGGAACATGTGCAAATGTTTTTACGAGTTAATTTAGTATTTTTCACATTTGACTTCTGTTTCACATGGATTGTATTTTCTAAAGTCACCCAGGAAACATGAGCAAGGCATTTGTTTTATGTAGGAATTTCCCATTTTCACATAGGATTCCATGTGGATAAACATGTTCACATGAAAATGTGAAAGACTTATTTTCATGTAAAACAAAATTGAAAAAATTCACATTATGACATATTTTTCACATGTGAAATGTGTTTTTCTCCACATGTAAAGTTCATGTTTTTTTTTTTCAAATTCACAAAGACGTTGTGCACATGTTCTACATGTTCATTTAAAAGGTTTTCACATATGAAAATTTAACTTTTTTCACATGTGAAGTTTGTGTTTTGCCCGTTTGGACGTGGCTAGCCAAAGCAGCTAGTTGCTAGCTGTTTTGCCGTGGTTCCACCGGCGTGGTTCCACCGGCGTGGTTCCACCGGCGTGGTTCCACCGACGTGGTTCCACCGGCGTGGTTCCACCGGCGTGGTTCCACCGGCATGGTTCCACCGGCGTGGTTCCACCGGCGTGGTGCAGGTGTTTCTTATTTCACGGCTGCCGGTTCGTCCCTCAGACTTTGACCAGAAAACGTTCCGCTCTAACTTTATTTTTAAACCTTTTCATTTTAGCCTGAAACGGTTGCTCTTCCTGTCGTCGTGTTTCAGATGCGAGAGCTCGGTTCACCTCCAGCGGCTCCCGGACTCCAACCGATTCTGTCTGATCCTCCCTCCCAACCTGAAGTCGGCCATCGCCGCCGTGACCTACGTCGCCGAGCAGCTGAAGAAGCAGGACACGGACGACACGGTGAGCGCCGCTCCCGGACACGCCATGTTCCCGGCAGCGAAGGTGCTGAGTCGGTGTTTGTGTTTGTTCCAGATGACAGGAGACTGGCAGTTCATCGCCCTGGTGGTGGACCGTCTCTTCCTATGGCTGTTTGTCATCATCACCACCCTGGGAACCCTGGCAGTGTTCCTGGATGCCAGCTTTAATTACACACCTGACAACCCCTTCCCGTAGAGGACAATAAACGCCTCGCAGCCGAGACGTGACGTGCGGCTGACACTTCACTAACAGCTCCAAACAAACTCGTGCGATCGGTCGGCTTCTGTTTTATCAGATCGGATTCACTCCAGAGCTAAAGATCAAACTTAACGTGTTCAGGTTTAAAGAACATTTGTTTAGTTTATTTTTCTATAAAACACGTATCTGATCCAGTGTAACCTTCTTGGTTTGACTCTTAAAAACTTGAAACACGTTTTTTTCTTGACCGTGAGCTGAAATCTGTCTCTGCCACAAGTGGTTCTGAGTGAAGTTTGGCTTTTGAGGCAGGACTATGATGTAAAGTATGTAAACACCCGACTGTTGAAGGTAGTATTTGTAAAGAATGTAAAGGTACTTGTCACTGTACAGAAACGTAAAACCATGAATCTAAACGCTCACTTGTGCTTTAACGCTTTGTTTGCTGTTTAATGTGAGAAAGTTGTGCTTCGACATAATGTCTGGTCTTCACCAGGTCCTAAAATCACGTTTAACTTCAAGTGTTGAAAAACAACAGATTCCACCGTCTCGTTATTTATTAAACGTAAAGTCTGAATATTAAAGCTGTGTGGGAAAAATAAATCCTCTCAGATCTTTCCGTGGGATTTAAGGGGGAAAGTAGCAGCCGGGTGCCACCTCAAGAAAAACAGGAGCTGAAGCTGCTCTGGAGCCTACAGGTGTCTGTAAATACAATGCCAAGATGGAAAGACATCAGCAATGACCTCACAGAAACAACTGCTGCTGCCCGTTAATCTGAGGAGGGTCATAAGACCTCTTCCAAACGAAGTCCAACGGTCTACGGAATGAAAGGTTCGCGGGCCAGTCTTCCCAGGAGTTCGTGTCGCAGCAAATTCACCCCAAGGTCAGACCGTGCGATGCTCAGAGAAATTTCAAACGCTCCATTTTGGATTCTATAAACCTCAATAAGCAGGTTAAAGGTTATAAAATGGCTTATTTGGAAATTTTCCACAAAAAATAAATGAATTTTACCGAGAAAAATAAAAACGCGGCAGCGCTGTCGCTGCACGATCCGTACCGCCAGCTCATCCGCGCATGCGCTAAAAGAAATACTTTAAAATACGCTAGATTTAGGAAAATGTACTGGAAATGATTACTTCCAGCATTAATTGTAAAGGTGTGCTAAATTATATCCTATAAGCTGATTTAATACATCACATTTTGATATTAATAAAACATATTTATGAAACGTACCATATTTATTACAATTAATTGATTAATTTTCCTAGACAATGTTATAGTTCCGTTTATGAATAAGAACCGTCTTCATTTACTTTTAAAATTATAATTCAGTAGAAAAATGTGTACTGGTTGATTGATTGGACTGTAACGTATTTACGATGTCAATGCGCCCTCTAGTGACAACAGAAGGCCTTTATTTTAATAATGGCCATCTTTTATGATTAACTGTAGAAACCTATCGTCCTGGCACACGTTGCCATCCACAGCTCCTGCAAAAGTTTTCTTTTCCAGGTAAAATTGCAGGTGATGAAAGTAGAAAGACTGAAAATCCATTTATTTAGTGATCTGCAACGTCTCAGACCTCCAGGAAGTTCTTCTTCTAGCGCACAAATGAGCCGACGGTACGAATCGTGCTTCCAGAGCAGATCGTGCTGTGACGAGCACAACTGGACCAAAGACGGAGAAGACCGAAGTAGAGGTGGTTACCCATAATGCAAAGCAGCACAGTGGGAGCAAACCAAGCAGCATCTCACAGCTCATACCATTTGTCAAGCACGGCAGTGGAGGGTTGATGATTTGGGCACCTTGTAGTCACTGAGCCAATCCTGACCGAAGGGTTCCAGAGCAGAGGTTCCAAAACTTGGGGTTCAGGACTTCATGTGGGTCCTGAAGTTCTGAGATGATTTACTGACGTTCATTTTGAAACGATCGCTAACCACGTATTTTTATCAAAGTTGTTTCTAGAGATAAAGAACATCAACGTAGCTACGTGGATAAAAAGTGTCTGACGTCGGTAAAGATGATAATTTATCAAGAACACTTTGTGTCGTGAATTCCTGCTGCCGGTGTTTCAACAGAGGGTTAGAAACCGTCAGTCAGTAACTCTCTGCTGCGCGAATGTTTCTGAATCGCTCTCTCTGTTCAGGTACGATTCTCTTCCGGACAGTTTTCGGCACGTAACCCGTTCCAAAATATTTGGGCTATTTTAACAATTCATACATCAAAACGTTCGGTTCGTTTTTTCGGCCATGTTTTTCCTCGTTGAAAATGAATGGAGCTTTCGTCACATCCTTCAAACTTTATTCTGCTTCAAACTTTTTAGTTTTTGTTCTGGTTCAGCTATTTCAGCTCCTTTTGTGATCATATCAGCTTCCTTCAGCTACTTTCTGCAGATTTCAGCTTCCTTCAGATCGTTTGAGCTCATTACTGCTGCTGTTGTTTTTAGTTGTTTTGTGCTTTTTTCTTCTTTTTAAGCTACTTTTTATATATTTTTCTGTTGGTTTTTTTTTGTCTTTTGTGCTTCTTAATAATAAATTTTTTTATTCTCTTTTCAGCTACTTTTCTGCTGATATCCACTTTTTATCTACAAAGTAGTTTTGAAATAATTTCAGTTTCATGTTTTTTTTTCTTAATTTTCCTGCTTTCACCAAATGTCCGCCGTTCAGATTCATCTCGCATTAACAGTTTTGTGAAGAAATCTTTTCAGCTGGTTTCAGCAAAAAAACATTCAGCAACGAGCGTTCACGCTGCATTTTCACATGAAATGACATTTCTCTGGATTATTGTGAGGTTTGGAAACCAACATTCTGGATTCAAATGTGGGGCCTTCTGTCTATCAGCTAAAGCTTGGACCAAACTGGACAACGATCCCAAACACAGCAGCTAATCTACATCAGAACAGCTGAAAAAGACACAATCAGGGTGCTCTAACTGTTCTGGAATGCTGTGGTGGGACTTTTTAGAGAGTTGAGCAGAAACTAAAGCAACGTTAAAAAAAAGAGTGGGACAAAATTCCTCTACAACCAGGGACTGGGAAATCCCCATAGAAAACGTCTACTAAGAGTTACTGCTGCTGAAGCAGGTTCAGGCTACTGGACCATGAGCTGGACTTGGTTTGTTTGGGGGGTTTTTTGTTCTAGAATTGCACCGTTCAGGTTTGGAGTAGCTCTCTTAATTAATTCTGAGATTTTGCTTTTGAAAACTTTAATTCCTCTTTTATTTGGATGTAAATCGCTTTTTTCAGATGATTGCTTCCTCTGGTTTTGGATGCTGTGCATCTGGAAGACTTTCTACTGAAAACTCTTACTTTTGGACGTTTGTTATGATGCGTTACCATAACAACAAGGTGGTTTTCTACAACTGGGAGCAGCTAATTAGCATCTCAAAAACACAAATATTACCTCAAATAAAGCTCCAAATCCCAAATGAGTTGAAAAGGAGGCGCCGTGGATGCATTCCCATCTACGTAGAGGCGGTGCTCAAGTGTCTGACTGCCGAGATCTTGGAGGTGGTGGGAAACGCTGCTCATGACAGTGGGAGGACCGAGATCGCCCCCCAGCACCTGCAGTTTTGCCCGCGGTGACGAGGGGCTAAGCAGCCTGCTGGGAGGAGTGGCCATCGCATGGGGAGGAGCTCTGCCCAGCATTCAGGTGGTCCTGCTGCCCATGAGGACTGAGAGGTCTGCTGGTTCTGGGTGGATGGACTGGCATCTGCAGCCAGTTTCTTCAGATCCACTGTGGGATGGACCCCTACAAGAGATCCTTCCTGCCCACAGCCATCAGTATCTATAACAACCCAAATGAAACCAGGATGAGCTACATCAACAATTAATTTCCCTTTGGGATTAATAAAGTACTTTTGAATTTAATTGAATTTAGCTTTTTTTTTTTTGTGAAGCATATTTTTTGATAATGTTCCTAGAACTGAAAGAGGGTGGGCATGTAGCTCTTGCAAAGCTTTTTAAGTGGTCACAGTGAGTGAAACAAAAGGAATAATCCCACAAGACCAAGAACAGAACCTCCTCAGTCCCTTTTCCTTTTGAAGACCAGGGACATGGAGAGGACAGGCGCCATCCCCCACATTTGCACTCACAGTTTTTGTTTTGTTTTGTTTGGGTGAAATCACCCAAAGTGACTTCCAGGGGCACCTAAAGGACTCCTGTTATCGGGTTGGTACTGTACCGGCTCAGTTCAGACCCAAAGGAGGCGTCAGCAGCAGGGAAGATGCTGTCACGGCTCCTCTTTAGGCTGATTTAGCTGCTCTTTCTATTCAATATTGTGCGGTGGTTAAACTGCCAAGACGAATGTGTGTTTACGCTTTACAGGAGCAGTAAAAGGGTGAAGAGGGCTGAAAACAGAGCGGGGAACTGGGGATTCTCTTTGTCTCCTTTGCAATCTATGACTTGTGTGGAAACGCAGCCAAGAGAACATCAAATAAATCAGGTTTCCAGCAGCAACGGCCTCAGACCGGCTCAGGGTCCTCTACCTTCAGCTCCCATTTTTACCGCTTCATGGCTTTACTTTTACATCACGCTCTTCGTCACCTTTCGTCCATCTATTTCATCCCAAACAACGTTAAAGATAAAGTAGACTTCTCAGTAGCTCACGGATTCCTCACCGGGTCGTCCCTCCCCGGCAACAATGGGACGCTTGTTGGCTCGAGGCCTGGACGCAGTTAAAAGGAAAAGAGTTATAGTGAGAGAAGGTGGTGGAAAGTGGACAGAAAGGGCAAGAATGTGAGAACCTGAAGGATCAGAGTGAGGTGGAGGGGGTGGTGGCAGAGGGCTGACGGAGACGTTTGAGGTATTTGGTAAAAGACTTGAGTAATCCTGTGAACCTTTAAATCGACTCTTTCTCCAGTCGTATGGGTTTCTACTTCCTCTTAGTTTGAATCTAGACCGTTAGCCTCAGTGTGAACTTAAAGACGCGACACCCATGTTATTGTTTCTGGTTTTCTTTTTATTCAGTGAACAGTTGCAGCTAGCACAACGAAACATCTGTACTGTGCAATATTAAAGATTCTGGTCATTTTTAAGTGATTTTTCCATTAAATTCTCAATAATTTGTTCCGAAACAGCCGTGACATCAGTTGAGGAGTGTGGCGCAAGGAGAAAAAAAGGGCAAAAGTCTTCCTCCAGCTAGGCTACTGGCTAGGCTAATGACCCAACTAATAGCTAGGCTAATGCATTGGCTAATAACTCAGCTATAGGCTAGGCCAGTGGATAGGCTAATTGTAAGGCTACTGCTAATCACTCAGCTATAGTGG